TTCTGTATATCCTAAAATTAAAAGAAATATATTAATGAATTTTCATTTTCTTGTAAATTTTCAAGTTACTTACAATAGTTGAAAGATCTATCCCATTTAAGCTTGATGAAAAATTGTTTTTATTCAACTCAGAGTTGTTATTTTTCCTTGAAATAATTCTCGTTAAATTATCGATTATATTATCTATGTTGTTTAGGCGAGATTCAAGAATGTCTATGTATTGGTTATCTTTATTACAGTTTTTACAATTCGTTGATTTTTTAATAGTTAATCGTCGTGATTGAGGATAAGTGGCTCCTTTCACTGTGAATATATATCTCCTTCCTGTGGTATCAATCTCATTGGACTTTTTGTTTTTACGATTTTGTAGAGTTCCAGAAAATTGTGGTAAAACCATTTTTATAATAAAAAAATAAAGATGAAAAAAGAACATTTATAAAATGGAAAAAGCGGATATTTATATTATAATATGTTACACTTAATTTTTAATATACATGTAACCAGAAATGAAGCACGTTTCATTATACAAAACATGATGGTGTGTGCATAATAAACCATACGCATAATGATCGGAAAAGCTTCACTTTACCATCATTAAATATAACGAACTTTTCTGTGAAAAATTCATCACATCAACGGTTTATTAATAATCCGTTATATTAGTCCACGTTTGATGGTCCGATATATCAACGAGCACTGTGCATAATGTAAATTTAACTTCTTTTTTTCTTGATCGATTTCCTTCATGTATTCATATATTAAAATTTAGTTTATTTAAGTTTTTTTCATGTTGCTCTTTATTCATGAAATAATTTTTAAAGAAATTTATGAATAAATGCTATTGTTAAATCTCGCGCAGTCAACCTCTATTACATGCACTTTATGATATACGTGATCTTTTCAGCCTATGATGTTCGAATAGAAAATTCTTTACATACAATAAGAGTGTTTCTCATTTGCAAAATAACAGTTCGTCAATACCATTCTGCGTAATTTTCATGATGTTAATTTAATGCATAGGATCCTGCGTTTTATAAAATCAGAATTTGCATTTCACTGCTACTGCGAAAATATTTGCAATTTATCAAAGTATTACATGTAGTATTAGTATAAACACATACATGTACAGTACATGTATTTTAGATTTTGTACAACATAAATATTGGTGGAGATAAGATAAGCAGTAATGCATAATAATCTTTTAGATAAGATTAAAAAACTCGTTTAATAAATGAGTGAGCATATCGATACATGTATAATCTAAGATGCGATTGAACATGCGTATTTTATCAAATAAATTTTCAACATTAGTCAGATTATCGTTAAATGAGATAAAGCACAGCAATTATATTGCTGCCATCTAAGGAGTGCTCAACTCTTAAATGAAAATTTTAAACAGTAATTCTTAAACAAAAATTTAATATTTATCGAAAGAGATAAGAAACATAAATAGATAATAACATATCAATGATTAGGTGAATTACAGTTCATTATTAAATTCCAAAAGGTTAGCTTATGCGCACACTATATTAATATTAATGCTCATTTGAATGCATTCCTGGCTATCTTTCTTCTGCAAGAGCGGGAGATTTTTTTTACAATCGGCCAAATTTCGTTACAATGAAAACGAATGGCAAATGCTATTAAATGAGTATCAAGATATCATTTGCCATTCCTGATTATATTTTTTCCTACGAGAATGGGAGAATTTTTTAAGCTCGGCCGAATTTCAAATATCGTAACGAAATTTGACCGATCTCGCTCTTGCAGAAAAAAAGGTTGTCAGGAATGACAAACATCATTAAATGAATAATTTGATGCTTAGAAAAAATATAATCAAGAATGGCAAATACTCATTTATCATTCCTGGCTACATTCTTCCCCAAAAAGCAGATCTCGGTCAAATTATACAGTGGCGATCAAAAGTAATGCAACGCAAAATAAAAAATTGTTAAAGCGCGATATCTTTATAAATAGCTAGCAAAATTTAATAAAATTAATAAATATGGTACATTAATAGTACCAGTTTTATTTATTAAAACTTAATTAAACATAATTTTAAGATAGAAATAATTGTTCACTTCAAAATGGATACATCATAAGAGAGATAGCAAGGACTTGTAAAATTAGTCCTTCTACCAACTCATGTATTAATAAAAAATAGCATGAACAGCATATTTTAAATGATATAAGTAAGTCTGGTCATTCATGATTATTAAATGACTGGTTAGAAAGAACAACAATTCATCTTATTACATCTCATGACTGTTCCACTACTGTTGCCATTCAAAATCATCTTTAAGAAGCTGAAACTATCAAAATTTCAGAGCATACTGTTGTTATACATTAAAAAAAGAATGGTTTAGTAGCAAGTATAAACAAAAAAACTATACCTGAAGCCCAAACATCAACAATATCATCTTGAGTTTGCCAAAAAATACAAAAACTAGATCTATAAAGATTGGTCAAAGATAATCTGGTCTGATGAATCTAAGTTTTAGATTTTTGAATCCGATGGAAATAGTACTATTGGAAAAGAAGAGGCAAGTTATTAAAAAGTCTTCATATTAAATCTATGGTAAAATTTGATGATGAATAAGTAATGGTGTGGAGTTGTTTTATCTGTTATGATGTTGGCAACTTTTGTAAGATTGATGAGAATATAAGTACATTATATTGATAAATTCTTGAAGAAGATCTTATGAATACTATTGAAGAACATGGATTTGCTATCAATAAGATTATTTTCCAACAGGACAATGATCAAAAACATACAGCAAATTTAAAGTTATTTGCATATACTTAATGAAATCTATCAACTATAATTTGATGTTCTCGAGTCTGTGTAAAGATATCGCGCTTTAACAATTTTGCGTTGCATTACTTTTGATCGCCACTGTATATACAATGTGTTTCAAAAAAAGGGCAGCTTGTCGAGTTTCACAGCAGTCAGCGTTCCGAATCGATCTAAATTTTTACATGTTATAAGGTAGATATTATATAGAAATTTGAAGTGATTTAAATTCCTGGTTGCCGAGGAAATCAATGTAAGCGATAACAAAAAATAGAAGTTGGGTCAAAATTAGTTATAAGTCACATTTATTTTCTCGACAAACAGTAATCCGAATCGCTTCAATTTTATATAATATAGAGATATCTATCTTATAACATAGAAAATTTGCTTCAATTCTGACTGCTGATTGCTGTGAAATTCGCATACATGATGATTCGTAGACTAAAAATCAATATAAAATATTTTTGATTTTTAAAAAATATATAAGTGAGATTAAAAAAATTAAAGTAATTTTATTAATATATTCACCTTAATTGTTAATAATAAATACGCATTGTTACGATAGTAGGAATATCAACTGTGTTTTTTTAATATATAAGAATCACGGTTCCCCCGTGCAAATAATAATTACCTTAACATATAAAAGATTTCGGGTATGAATCAGTAGATTTAAAGTAACAAACTCCGGGTAGTTTACGCAGCAATTTACGGTATTGTGCTATTCTTTGTGTTTGGAAAATTTAAAAGGACGTTATGCATCAACTGCGCAAAATTAGGAAGGTTGAATTTTTTCTGCGGAGAAGTAGAACCAAAGAATTTAACATTCGTAATTTATTATGAAATCCGTGATCCAAACGGGTCTACCCCAACTTCTCAACGATCCAACTCCCCGAAATCTAACATCCCGACAATCTAACATCCCGACAATTTCTGGGATCGACGACTAACATTAGAATAACAGATCTTCATTAAATGTAAATGATGTCGGGAAGTTGGCACCTAACTTCCCGACAATTTCTGGGACGACTAACTAGCATTTATTAACATCAATAACGGATCTTCATTTAAATGTAAAATGATGTCGGGAAGTTGGCTTTTTCGGGGTGTTAAGTTGTCGAGATGTTGGATTGTCGGGATGTTGGGTGTCGGGATGTTGGGGTAGACCCATTTTTATTATTTTATTTTGATTAGAGCATGTTTTTGACTGTATGTAGCTCTTCTATTTATCAAGTTCAGGATTATTCTAATCTATGTGAACTTTTGTTAAACAGGTATTATGGTACAGTAGATGTCAAATTTGATTTTAAAAAACGTTAAATCATGGAAAATAAAAATAAATACTAAATAAATATTGGATTAGATACAAATACATATAGATGTTAAATAATTTAAAACTTGTACCATAAATTGTGCGGAAATTGTGAAATTAATGAATTTTAACATAACTATAGCAACAATACACACAAGCTATTATTATTCATGAATCTCGAAATAAATACATCTTCCCGCTATCTTTAAAAAATTAATATTATAAAACTCTATAAACCGGATATATTTTGATTTATACATGTATAATATAACCGATTTACAAATTTTTTATTAAACCGATTACTCAATAAATCGGTTACAAAAAGCCAGCACGATGCAGCAGGTTTAACTGTATTAATATATGATAATACATACAATAACTATTCTATATAGCTTTATATATAAGAAACTGGGTCATATAATGAAATGATCATATTAAAGGATGTCATATTAACAAGAGTTAGCTTTAGTAATAAATTTGGGGACTACTCTACATTCCGACCTACCATCTTTCGAATCCAACATCCCGACAACCTAATATCCTGACAATCCAACATCCCGAAATTCAACATTCAAACAAACCTAACTCCCAATCTCTGGTTTATGTCGGAAGGTTAGGTTGTCAGGATATTGGATTGTCGGAAAGATGAGATTTCGGGTGGCACACATTAAAATTTGTGACATGAGTACTAATAAAGATTTATTTTCAATATATGATGAATGGTTAATTATAAATTGTATATAAGCAAATCTCTCTTTACGAAGCAAATTGAATAAGTATGTAATTATAAAAAATATATTTACAAGCTCGCAATTATGTATGAAAATCGAAAATCAATATGTTAACAACTACACGTATAATTTCCGTGTTATAGTATGCTACCCAATAATCGGAATCATGTGTTACCCATTAAAATCGCTAGGTTAGTCCCCCCCCCCCCAAAAAAATCAATTTTTGTTCTAAATATTAAGGTTCAAAAAAAAGAGGGTAAAATTCAATACGGGAATGTCGCTTATATTCTGCAAATACAGTAACGGAAGTGATGTAATAATAATATTGGATGAAAGCGATAAACTGAATTTATGCACTAGGATCCTTAACAAAGCTGGGATTACTTTAAGCATAGTATTTGCAATCTCGTCTGTGATATTTATTTCCATTTGTAAGAATAGCATTATAATCGGCGAAACAACCACAAACAATAATGAAAATTTCTATTAAAGAATTTAACTTTATAAAATAATTCTCGAAAGGATATATACTTATAGCCAACAAAATGCACATCCACATTCACACGTCATATGATCACATCCATAATTCCTTTTCAATATTAGCATTACATTTAGGACATTTTTTTGTCATAGAATTAATATAAGCTTTTGATTTTTTCCGCTCGCTTATTCTCTTGCCGTCCAGATTAATGCATTGCGGACAGCTTAATGAGCCATCTGGGATCGGAAGCGAATGTGTGATACATGTATATGTTTTTTTCGAGCAAAATTGACACGTCATTATTATTCAGAGTCTTTTGTAATGAATAAATAAATAAATAAAACTTAGAAATTTTCACTAATATCGTTTACAGAATTAAAAAATTTCACGCGATCAATATTTTTTTATCATGGGATTGAAAAATTTATTTCAATTATTTTGATTAGATTTCAATAAAAATTGTATACTTTTTTGGTTAACATTAATAAATTAGTCACAATTCAGGCCAAACATGCCAAAGTTTGATAAATTATGTTATAAAAATTTTGTCCAACATTAATCAAAGCCATAATTAAACCAAATTATGTGACTTTAAATTAGCCAGCTTTAAAGAAATCAAAGCTATAATTCGGGCTTAAGTCATGTGACTCTGTAAGAAAATTCGTAAATACAAATTATTTTGAAACTTTCGATTTATTGCGATTTTATTTTTTTGCAGGTCTCCGGGTTATGACGTTAAATAATGATTACACTATCGTAACGATTGTAAAGGGTGAAATTTGTACTGGCCTTAAATTACCCTTACTCTTTCGCGCATACAAATCTTTTACATTTACATCTATTTTATTTTTTAGTAATGTCAGGAATTTCGGAATATCGGAGAGTCGTGATTTTGGGCATTTGGAATTTTAGGCGTTGGGAGGAATTCTGGATCAAGAAAATAGATCACGTGAAAAGCTAAGCTACCAATCATTATAAGAAAAAATACCCGCCAAACTAAGAATCATGTGATTTTCCTTATTTATTATTGTTAGTTAACACGCTAATTTTAACCATAATAGCTTTTTTATTACGATAATAAAAATTTCCTAATTTGGAAAGTTTTCGAGATTGACTTGCGCCACGATTATGTACAATTAACTCTCTAAAGGCACACCCGTTGTGAACCATGTTAAAATGTGCATTTAGAGAGAGTCATTTATAGAGATTATGCACGCTCTCTCTCAATGCACAACTATTTCAGTCCTAAGCTTAGAAAATTTATCTCTATAAGTGCATTGCATTTAGAGAGAGTTAACTGTACAAGAGTTTATAAAGTTGGGACTGAACTAGCATGTGCATTTGGAGAGAGAGTTAACTGTAGACGATGATTTGAAGCAGACGATCTTGAAAAAAAAAATATATATATATATATATCAAAAAAAAAGCTTCAGAATCTTGCTCGTATTTTTACTTTATCCGAAATCCATTCACGCTTATAAAAATGAATGTAAAATATCTCATCTTCGCTCTCGTCTTACTCATTTCTGCCGTCTCCACTTTGGCGGTACCAGTGATCCCAGTCGATGGAGGTGTTCGTTCTGGTCCAAACTGTTATTACGTATATGGATCTTACGGGCGTTGCGGTCCAATCGGTCCAATCGATCCACCTGTCGTCGCTTATTAATCACTTCATGATATTACGACTGTGCTAATAAAAAAAAGTTCATGTTCGGCTAATTTACGATAACTACTTTAATGATATAAAATTTTGTAATTGTGTATTCAAGGACATAGTGAATCTTGATGGATGGTCCGGCTTTATTAGTAAAGATTTGTCAACAATTCATTGTACATGTATTACACGAGTTTATTAATAAATTCATTATACAAGTCACTTTCGTTATAATGAACTCTCGATATAGTGAATGGTTTTAAATTACAGTGTTATTAAACTTCAACCCGATATAATTATGTATAATATTCTCTTGTTATATGTTATAATGAAGAATTTTTTTCTTAGCCCGATTACTTCACTATAACGAGAGTCACTTGTACACGTATCCAAGGATTTTATTATAAATTGGTCTGGAACTCAAATTCACTATATCACGAATTTAATTAGTATTCATAACGATAAGATAGTATTATAAATTAAGCAAAATCAGCTCTAACTTGAATGAACGATTATTTTAACCTTATCACTTTTTATTGAATACATTAATAGTGATATTCCGCTCTAGCATATTGATTTAGTTTATAAAGAAGACGTATCTACGTTACAGTGTGCAGAATCCATATGTTTTGATGATTTGTTGTCGAGAATTGCTATTAATTTGGGTTTGTGAGTTCCATGGGCACCGCGAGTGAAATTTTCATTTATTTTTTCTTTTTCTTTATGTCTCAGAAAAAGGCATGTGCTGGCTTTTGGATCGTTTCAATTCCTATTTTTCGTTAGGTCATTTTCATGTGTGCAAACTGTCATAAGTTGTTCTCCAGTTGGAATCCTAGAATCTAATGTCATTATTATTGTCAAGATATCCTAGCCATGGCGAAAAAAATTTACGGATTATGTGATTTAAAGGTATGAAATGTTAATAGCGTTTTCGTTATGGATATGGTTCGAGTCAGAGTTGAGATTATATTGTATATTGTGCATAAAAAACACAAAAGCATTTTTTGTTAGAAGAAAGAAAAAGGAATTCATTTGGTGAAATTTCGAGATGTAAGCTATTTTTCAGTTACACTTTGATCTTGCTAATTGATTGGTTTACCCATTAAAAATCGCATGATCCGTAACTTTTTTTCGCCAAGTAGCATATCTTTCATTGTTACATGTTTCTGGGTTTCACAAAAGACTGACGTAAAGATAAATGGTGTATTCCAGTTTATATGCCAGTTTGCATTAAACATAGGCCGTATAGCGTTGATTACAGCCGCCGGTCTTATTCCAGACTAACTTGAATAGTACCCGGGGGATACTATGTGAAGAGGGGGATCTTATAAAAAAGGGGACTATGTAAGGAGGGATATTATAGAGGGGACTATATGGTGGGTATATAAGTAAAAATACTAAAGAATCCGATAGTGACGGACTTAAAATGGTATGGTGCGGGATTTGAACTCTTAAAATTTTATTAACTTATCTAAATTTAAACCAAATCACTATGTACTTACATGTAATTTAATATAAATGTCATTCAATAGATATTTTAATTTTAATGCATATATTATTTTGCCTATAATATTATATATTCATCTGATTGGTTTGGATAGGATAGTATTCAAAAAATCACCCACTTTGTGTTGAAAAATACCCCCGTACTATACAAGGGGGATACTTTACTAAGGGGCACTGATAGTCAGTACTATACGGTAGCCCACTCCGGAACTGTTCCGAAGTGGATTATATGTTTTAATGTAAACTGGAATATAAACTGGAGCACCCCATTAACAACTCTAGTTTGTGAGTGACTAACGCTGACGAAAATTAGACTTTTACAAAGGGAACTAAATCCTGTGCTAATATTGTATGTGTAAATGTATGAGTTTAATAATATTACGTTTGAAAACAAAAGTTTTCGAAAACTAATAATTAAAATAACTGATTCAAAGTGAATATTAGGATATAATAAAAGATATTTCCAAACGAATAACGCAATATTCAAATATATTGTTCAATATAATAACTCCAAGCCATAACAAGACTATTACTAACAAAAATCGAGATCAACTTTGTAATTACTATGCTAATTTACATTGTACTACTCCATAACGAACACAATTACTAAATAAAAGAAGGAAAGTTATTCGAAAGAACTAATCTAAGGATTAACGCAAATTATTAAGACTTTTAAATGCTTTATGCCGAAATAATGGTAAATTCTTGTTTTATGATTAATTTTAAGGATTAATCCTAATGATTAGTACATTATTTAGGAATTAAAGAATACATATACATGTATTTTGCATATACATATATTTTGGATAATAATAAAGATTAACGTAGTATTACGCACAATTCCGAAGTTAGTTGGACTAAAGAATTACAAGAAACGAGAGCTAGACTGAATGATTTACACAAAATGGGATATAACTAAGATTCTAAAGGTCTCATGCATCAATCTACACAGGAATTGTGCAATCAAAGAGGCAAGTATTTAAAGGGGCAAGGTAAAGCATGAATTTGCTAACTCTAATTCAAGAGCGCCAAGTAAAGTATAAATACTAGAAAAATATAATTTAAATTCCAAATGACCAAATGATCATACTAATTTACTATTAAGATTCGAATTTCAACCAATAATAGATTTATTTTAAACTGGTAACACTAGAATAAAAGTTATCTCAATATTCGGGACAAACAAAAGAATTAATTCGACTTTCCAAAATACATCAAATGGATCAAGAATCGGGCGTGATTCATTAACTTTGTATACCAAAGCAGTAAAATCTTCAATTGTTAAGCACAATAGAATTAAAGCTATCAATCTTGTTAAGGCACAAAAGAAATAAAATCTGAAGTAATATTAGATAAAATTTAAAATAATTTGATTGATATTTATTTTTCTTCAAACTGTACAAAGACTTGAGCTATTCTTTTTATATATTTTATATATTGCATTTTAATTACTTACTTTTCTATAGATCTAGACTATGAGTCTTCATGAATCAGAAACATACAGAGTATGAATAAGTTTACAAAAGAGACATAAGTTCATTATTATGAGTGTGAAAATGGAAATTAATCACTATCAAATATTAACTGTTATAAATAAAAATAAAAGAAACTCTATATATAATACTAAAATATAGATATTATTTGAGAATTTCTTTGAATTAAAAATAATTATTTAATGAGTTTGTTGATATTTTATTTTTATATTTATATTTTTAAGGATGTTAATAAGAAATATTTGAAGAGAATTCAGATGATTAGGAAAGATAATACCAATATTAATATCATAAAATAGAAATCTTTTATGAATTTTTGAAGCAAAATGTTTATAAGATTATTTATGATTGTAAACAAGAGAAAATATAAAGTGAATAGTTTTAATTTATAAATACTTATAATTTTATTATTTGAATAATATTCAGATTTAAGATTAAATTATAAAATAAAAGAGACTTATTTATAAGAAATAAAATGAATAAAAATATAAATAAATTATTAATCTAATTTACATATATATACTATTAAACAAAAGTAACATATACCCAAAATTTATTAATTACATAAAATTATACATAATAATTATATCTCAAATTTTAATATTTTATATTTTAATTAATGAATTAACTATATAAATTAATATTTAGTAAACTAGTTATTGCTTATAATAACTGCTTCTATTCTCTATAACATATTTTCTATCAAGCTAATTATTTGATTCATTAAAATTTTGCTTCATTCTTTCTATAAGATAGTTTTTAATTTTATAATATTTTTCATTACTTATAATTGATTTCTTATTCTTCTTTTCAGTTCTGATTATAAATGCTCAATTAGATTTAAGTTAGAAAACTAACTTGGTTAATCTGGTAAAATATTGATTTTGTTTGTAAATATCTACTACTTGATATTCTTAGCAGTATAAACTGAAGTATTATCATTCTAAAACAGATATCTCTTACTATTAAATTTCTTATTTATCAAAGACAGTAAATACTTTTCTATATAATTCAATCTACTTATTTTGCTCTCTATCATTACTAATGAATTTAATTCTTTATCTGAAAAATATTCTCATACTATTAGTTCTTCATCACTGAATTTTACAGTTGAAACTATATTTGTAATATTAAATCTAGTATCTGAAATTCTTCAAATATAATTTGATTTATCATTATCAAATATTATAAATCTACTTTTACTATTCCATATGATAAATTTCTATTTTTAAATAGTCCAGTTTCTTTTTTAAATATATTATCTTAGATACTATTCTCTTTACTGATTATTAAAAAAAGCTTTTTTTGAGCTTGTATATAAGAAAAATTTTTATTTCATGCAAATTTCTTCTAATTATTTTGATAAAAACTTTGATATTAGTTTTTTTAATAAATTTCTTTTTGATTTATTTAGCAGAATTTTTATTATTATTCTTAATAATAGTTTTTAATATTTTTTAACTTTCATATATTAATAATTTAGATATCTAATTTAGAAACTAATAGCAAAATTATATTTATTAATATATTTTTTAATAGTATAAAAGATAGTTATTTTGTGAATTTTGAGAGTTTTATTAATTTTGGATATTAATTAATTATTCTTGTAAAGAATAATAATGTTATTGCATTAGTTTTTAATTAAATAATATATAGAGGGTTATTAAAAGTTTCCAAATATAATTTTTGGAATGCAATTACTATATAAAAAAAGTAATATTTATTATATAAATATAGTTTGTTTTTATTTATTTTGTCTTAAAAAATATTTCTAATTCAATTTTTCTTTCTAATTTCATTTTTTTATAATTATAGTTATAACTGTAACAATAAGAAAAATAATGAATTAACTATGGAATAATAAGATACTATATTTTATCTTTGTAAAAATATTAATTTGTATAATTATAGCAAATCAATAGTTTATAATATATTAAAAAGATATATTGAAACTGGATGCATGAAAAGTAATTCTGAAATGTATGATTAAAAATTTAGTTAATAGTATATCAA